ATCAGCTGGGATTCGGTATTTCCTGTGGAACTCCCTGGAGATGAAACCGTGTTCATCCTAATCCATGAGAAGAAAGAAAGAAGCAAAGAAGTAAAAAGAAGAAATAATATCACTTGCCCAAAACTCAGATATCTCATTCCCCTTAGGGGAGACCAAAAGCCATAACAACATGAGAGAATAATAACAACTTTTCAGGTTTGTGGCTAGGATAAGGTTGCCTAGAGGGTCACTCCTACAAGTATTTACTCACACTTAAATATTTTTAAACCAGAGCTTGTTAAGAAACCTGCAACAGCCTCAAACTAGTTCTTTATAACACTGAAGCACTGTTATGTTTAGGGGTATTTTACAAAGGTTTAGATTAATGTTGGCTAGACCTACAAAATTTGGAATCTCATTCTGACATTGAGAATCTGAGTCCCTGAGGAAACCCAGAAATTGTCCAGACTCTTCAGGAATGTTCCAGATACACAGGACTGCTGCTTAAAAACAACAACAAAAAACAACTCCATGGAGACTGACCCAGTCTGAAATCACATGAGCAAAACTGAAACAGCCTGAGGACATTAAATTATACAAATTTTGAAAAGGTTCTGAGTTATCATTAATTGCTCAGAAGCAATTTTTAAATTTTCAGGAAGTCATGGAAAACCATTGCATGTTTCAGAATCCCCCTGCAAGAGTTATTGACCCTAAACAGGCATGGTGGCACATGCCTACAATCCCAGCTAGTAGGGAGACTGAGGCAGGAGGATTACAAATTCAAGGCCAGCCAGCCTGGACAATTTAGCAAGACATTGTCTCAAATTAAAAAAAAAAAAAATTAAAGACCTGGAGACTACCTCAGTGGTAGATTACCCCCTGGGTTCAATCTCCAGTGATAAAATAGAAAAATCAAACAGTTGACTTGTAAACTTTATGCCTGCTGAATCTCAAACATCTATCTAAATAAACTTTCAATTAACTGATTTCCTCATCCACCTACAAAGGATTAGGTGCTGATAAGCTTTGAAAAGTAGGCAAACCAAGTAGTTTAACATTCAGATGGGCTTAAGAGAAATGAATTCCTGAACATCTAAAAGAAAAGTCACAAACTCCAGTGCCTTCAGGGTGAATGTAGTTTATGTAATTATGAAAAGCAGCCAAGTGTCAAGACAACACTATGCCTAAGGCAATGGTTCTCAGTCTTGGCTATAGATTAAAATTACCCAGGGAACTTTAAGAAATGCTGATTCCTGAATTACACCCCCTAAAAATTCTGATTTAATTAGTCTGGGGTATGCCTGAACCTTGGAATTTAAAAAAAATTCTCATGATCCTAATGCAGCCAAGGTTGAAAACCCCTGGCTTAAATGGAAAGTGAACATCCTATCCAAAGCAATCAGAACAACAAAGGCCATTTCTCTGGGCAAACAAAACAAGTTTATCCCTAATTTAGTTTTCTAGTCTCAGAGGCTGATGGCAGTACCTGGTGTACAGGATACACTGAATGAGCATAAGGAAAAAAAACTCCATACCTGGCGCTCTTCATGCTTGCCATGCACCTCAATCACATCTCCCAGCACCTTGACCTTGAGTTCCTCTGGGGAGAAGTGCTTCACATCCAGGTTGACAGAGAACCTGTCCTTCTCCATACGCATCTAGAAACAGCAAGGGAAGTGAGTAAGGAAGAGAAAAGATGGCAAGAATGTTGATTAYACTGGTGCAGTCTCATCATTCTGCAGACTTGCTTTCTATCTAGGTATTTCATCTTCCTCTTGTGAATTAAAAATAACTTTTGAATAAACATGGCTCTCTGGCTCAGGGTAGCCACCACAGTGGTACCCAAGGCCTACTTCTTGGCCACAGGCCCAAACTTTATTTAGGTACACAGGAAAGAATACTAACCACCCAGGAGACCAGTCACAAGGATGGATGTGGGCCTGGCTTTTGCTGCCTTGCTGACCCAGTGCCTGGCTTTGTCATTTGTCTATGAGACAAAGGCCCCTTCTTTTTGCTCAGTTCTCTGCCAAATTTCCCACCCACTCAATCTGGAATGTTCTGTGGATCCTGCCTGTCCTTTCAAAGCCCTTGCCCACTCAGCTGCTGTTTACTCACACTTAAATATTTTTAAACCAGAGCTTATCTATGATAGCCTCTGTTCACCACATTTTCCCACCCTCTTAGGATAAAAGGGGGTCCTAAGACTGGACCCTGGTTATTTCCATGTAAGGGTTGGCTCCAGGCCACTGCCCTGCCACAGCCCTAAGGCACCTGGAAAATCATAAAGAGAGAACAGAATGAAAGAAAACAATTAACTGTTATCTCCAGCTCCACTCAGTGGGGATGAAGAGCTTAGGATGAGATAGGTCTCCCTGGGCTCTAGAACTTCATAATAAAATCTGCTAGGAGTATGAGATATTAGCAGAGTTGAGCAAAGGAGTTTGAAGACAGCTTTTTCCTTGTAGATCATTATAAATCAAACCAAAAAGGTTATCCTGCTTAAAAGGGAACAGAGGATGATCTTCACTGTGTATTTTTTTTTTTAAATGTAATAAATAGGATACAGAGGAGCATCAAATAGAAACAGGTGCCTGGGGGAAGGAAGCATTACTAACCCCGCTTTTTTTCAATTCTGGACACATGTGCCTAAATGGCTTAGGCAGGGGGAAAAAAAGAAAAATAGAGAATATTCAGGAGATTCCAGGAAGGGCTCCTGTCCTGGCAAAGGGGAGACTCACCTCTGAGAGTCCAGTGTCAATCCAGCTGGGTGCCCGCAAGAAGGAGGGTGGCCGAAGGTAGAAGGGGCTCAGGGAAGTGGATGTTGAGAAGAGGTCAGACTCCAACAGGTGCTCTCCGAAGAACTGGTCAAAGAGGCGGCTGGGAGAGTGGAAAGGAAAGAAGGGGCGCCGGATCCAGGGATGGTGAATGGCGATGTCCATGGCTGCTAAGTGAATGCAGGGGTCAGCTGGCTAGTCAGCTCCTTCAGCTGCAGCTACAGCCAGCCCCTTATATATGCAGTCTTGTGAAGCTTCTGGAATGGTGATGTCAGGGGTTTTATTATCCCAGCTCACCGCCAGTTCATGGAGACTTGTGATCGGGGATTTGGCAGTGTGACACATACCCGGTACTCACTGAGCTAAGAAAAGAGAAACACAAACACGTCTGAGCTGGCCAGTGACTTGTCATGGTCTTGTTTCACTGGATTTCTGTCCACACCCAGTGGCACCCACCCCCATCCTCTGTTCTCTAGATCTGGACAGAATCAGGAATCCCAAGCAGGCGCTGGCCGGCCCCTCCTCCTCCCTTCCAGTACTGCATGCCAGGGGAATTGAGCCAGCAACTATCTTGGGCCTGGGCAGGGACTGGAATCTTCCTAGGCTGGGCCCCAGGGACATTAACTCTTTGTGGGTCCCTGGGGGAGAGAAGTGAATGCCAATATGTCAGTAGCAAGCATATACTGGGTGCCCTGGGTTGACCTGGTTTCAGGAGAAGACCCTGACAATCTGGGCAGTGCTCCCAAAAAAGGGCAGTAAAGTTTCTCATAACTTTTATGCTGTGGGGCTGGCATAACATTAAATCCAGAGTGTTTATTAAGCATCATGCATGTTGCTTAAGCCTGAGGAGAAAAGGTGATGTGGAATGTGCAAACTGTTGATGAGGGTCTCAAGCTAGGCCCCTCAGCTAGGTGAGGGTCTCAGCTAGCACCAGCTCCCCTCCCCAGCTCACTCCAGGGTCAGGACTCCCAGCTGTCCTCTCAGGCCCCCTACGACAGCTGAAGCCTGTGCAGAGGAGGGGACTGGGGGTCTGGGTCAGGCGGCGTTGGTCACACCCTCATCACTGCACTGGGGCCCCTGCTCCCTGCCCTCCCCGCAGAGGCTCCGCACTATTTTGGGTGGTGTAGACCCCGCCTCCGCCTCCGACTGAGCTCTAGCTCTCCGGGCAGCTGGAGGGGTCGCGTTGCGCCTGTTGGGGCCGCACCACAGAGCAGGACTGCTGCAGTGACTGCCGCCATGTCGGGCCGCTCAGTGCCACATGCCCACCCGGCCACCGCCGAGTACGAATTTGCCAACCCCAGCCGCCTGGGTGAGCAGCGCTTTGGCGAAGGTATGGGCCGGTCGCCACCCCAGTGCCTCCCACCCCCACTTCCCGATATTCTGGGCTGACCTCCCAAAGTTACTGGCTTCCACCCCACTTCAGGCTTAACTGAACTCCTGGGGCAAGCCATCTCCCACTCAGACTCCCCGCTCACCCCCCTCAACCAGGACTCTCTTCCCTCCCTACTGACCTCAGGACAGACATGGGGCCTTGCAGTGCTTGATACCTGCATCTTTCCTTTCTGTGTGCGCTTTCCTGAGTCCCTTCTACCCACCAAATCCTGGCTTGGCTTCCCTACTCCACTGCAGTTTCATTTCCTTTCAACATCTTCCCAGCTGCCTGCCTGGTTCCCCTTCCCTACTTTTGACTCCCCCTCCGGCTCTTCCCATTCCTGCATCTCATGATCTCTCATTTCACCCTTGTGCCCACCTTATTCTCCCTCATCCTGCCTCTTGCCTTCTCTCTCTGCCCTCAGGCCTACTTCCAGAAGAGATCCTGACCCCCACCCTCTACCATGGCTACTATGTCCGGCCTCGGGCCACCCAAGCTGGGGAGGGCAGCAGGGCAGGGGCCTCTGAGCTCAGGCTCAGTGAGGGCAAGTTCCAGGCATTTCTGGATGTGAGCCACTTTACCCCAGATGAGGTGACCGTGAGGACTGTGGACAACCTACTGGAGGTGTCTGCCAAGCACCCCCAGCGCYTGGACCGCCACGGCTTTGTGTCTCGAGAGTTCTGCCGCACCTATGTTCTACCTGCTGATGTTGACCCCTGGCGWGTCAAAGCTGCTCTCTCCCATGATGGCATCCTTAACCTGGAGGCACCACGAGGTGGCCGTCATTTGGACACAGAGGTCAATGAGGTCTACATCTCCCTGCTCTCTGCACCTCCTGATCCAGAGGAAGAGGAGGAAGCAGCCAGAGTTGAGTCCTGACTGCCATAGACCCAGCACCCAGCAAGTCCCTTCTACTTCCCGAAGTGATTTGAGCAGCTGCCCACCACCCCAGAGGTAGCAGCATCCTTGGGGGAAGGGAAAGGTGCATGGTCCACAGTGTATGGTTTGGTCTTTTGGGGACGTGTTATAGCATTTGGTTTAGTTCTGGGTGGAACTGAATAAACCCAAATCTTGGGGCCTCRTTTGTGCTGCTCAGTATTCTGTGGCCTGGAAAATGGGATGGGTGAGAAGGAGGAGATCATAGCCAGCTAGACAAAAAGGTCCTGTTATATGTGCTCAACGTCACAGTACCCTGAGCTCACACTTAGATGCTGAGATCACTGCCGGAAGCTAACACTGGCTCCAGATCAAATTCCTAATCATAATTTTCTCACAATGCAACAAAAGAGAGAGTGATCCTGGGAGGGAAAAGGGATATGCCATCCAAACAGCCCAGAGGGCACTGTCTGAGCTGGTGATTAGAGACACAAAAACAAGGGTCTCCAGACTGTCTGGCCCTTTTTGGGTAGGGGTTGGGAAAATGATTTTTGGCTGGGGAGAGTTGCCTAAAGCCCTGGAGTGAATGCTTTGTTTTTCCATACTAAGGTCTGTCCTCTGAAATGGTTTCTGATTCTGATGGTCTGAGTATGCATACATGGGCACAAAAGCCTCCACCGTTGTCACTGAACCCCACAGCCTCCTCATCCTCTGTACAAGGGAGGCCCATGTGAAGAAGCATTGTCTCAAAAAGAGGAATTATTGCATCACTTCACCTAATCCAAGACTAAATGCAGGGATCTAGGTCTCTTACTGTGTTGGTGGTTAGCAGGGAAGCGTCCCTTGTAAGTAAGGTCTTAAGGCTATGGGGATGGTGTGTTCAGGAAAGCCTGGGGGTCTATCCCCATACCTACTCTTTAATCAAGAGGTTGTGCATGTCTATGATTTGGGGAACATTAGAAGATTTCCTTGCCCCAGAGTGTATTTTTTCCAGATGGTGGTAGACACCTGAAATTCTTCCATTTAAGTGATTTTTCTTGACTTTTGGGGGTAACAGACTGATTTGAAAATCTGATGAAACCGTAGATACTCTTCCAGAAAAAAGCACATGCTCCCAAATTTGACAATACTGTTTGAATAGTTTCACAAAATTTGGGGATCCATTCATACCCCTTTTAAGGATTGTGGATCCCCAGGATAAGAATCCTCACTTAAAGAATTCAATTATTGATTAAAGGACTGTCTTCCATTAAAGATMAAAATGCAATTAGAAGAAATAATATTATGTTCAACTGTTCATTCATCCATCGATCCATTYGTTCACTCAACAAATATTTATGAAACTCCAAGTAATGCACTATGGGGGATATACATTATAAATATGAATTATAAAAATGAAAATCTTTCTTATATACTCAGAAATCTTACCATGTAGTTGAAAAGAATAAAAAAAGAATTCTAGGGCTGGGGTTGTGACTCAGCAGTAGAGAACTCGCCTAGCACGCGTGAGGCCCTGGGTTCGATCCTTAGCACCACGTATAAATAAATAAATAAAATAAAAGGTATTGTGTCCAACTACAACTAAAAAAAAAAAAAAAATTAAAAAAAAAAGAATTCTACTCAGACTTCAACCAGAATACCTTCATATTATTCTGTTATTTATTTATTTGGGGACTGAAGATTGAACCCAGGGCCTTATGCCCATTAAGTATGAATGCATATAAACTCCACTATTACATATAATTATAATGCACCAAAAAATATTTTTAAAAAAGAATGAACTCTACCACCAAGCTACATTCTCAGCTTTTGAGCTCTGCCTAAAGAAAAGGATTTCTTAAAAGAAAAAATTTAAAGTTATTAATCAACTTCTGGGATTTTTTTTCCCTTTTTCTTTTCTCATTATTGAAGATTGAACCCACTTCAGGCTTAACTGAAATCCATCTCCCACTCAGACTCCCCACTCACCCCCACTCAACCAGGGCTCTCTCTCTTTCCTACTGACCTCAGGACAGACATGAGGCCCTTACCCAATATGCAAGGTAAGCATATATTGGGTAAACACCCTACCACTAAGTTACATCATTAGTCCTTTATATATTTTTWAAATATTTATTTTTTAGTTATAGTTGGACACAATACCTTTATTTTATTTACTTATTTTTATGTGGTGCTGAGGATTGAACCCAGGGCCTCACACATATTAGGCGAGTGCTCTACCGCTGAGCCACAACCCCAGCCGTAGCCCTTTATATTTTTATTTTATTTTGTGACAGTCTCCCTAAGTTGTCTGGGCTAGTCTCAAACTGGCCATCCTCCTGGAGTTGCTGGGATTATAGATGTATACCACCATGTCCAGCTTCTGGGGCAATTTGAATGACAGAGAACTTAGAACTTCATCAAGTAGCCCACTCCATTTTCTTTTAGGACATAACTTATAAATTCTTCCTTCTGTTCCAAAATCTGCATTTGAGTAACTTCTGTCCATTGGTCTGTTTATGTCCAGAAAACAAATGCAATTATCTTTCACTTGAAAGTCCTTCAAATATTTAAATGTAAATCATATTGCYTTTTTTATGCATCCCTTTTCTGGGAAATTGTGCCTAGTTCTTTCAGCTATGCGTTATAGCACTTTCCATACCACATACTACACAGATTTCTTTTGAACACACTGCCATTTGACAGTGTAACTTGAAATTCAATATACAGACCTAAAATTATTATTCCAAGCATGGATTGACTAGTATACTAGAGATTTCAGTAGAATAATCAATAACCTTATTTATCACTCTACATTCCTATTAATATTGCTTAAAACACATCAGGTTTTCTGCCACAAATGCACTGTATGGAGTTTCTGGATATCTAAAAATCCTTTAGGTGAGTTCCTGTAAATTAYAGAAGAGGTTGTTGGAAAGGGACCAAATTATGGAAAGCTTCCATAACTGGAATTCTAAAACGGTTGCCCTGGCATCCTCCTGCAATACCAGATACTTGGAAGGCTAAGGCAGGAGGATCATAAATTCAAGACCAGTCTGGACAACTCAGCAAGACCCTGTCTCAAAATAAATTAAAAGAGCTGGGGGTGTATCACAGTTGTAGAGCACCCATGGGTTCAATCCCCAGAATCTGAAAAAAAAAACAAAAAACAAGATGCTGGAATTCTATCACGTAGGTAACAGGAAATTACTGATAGTGTTTGTTTGTTTGTTGTTGTCATTGTTTTTTAGTTGTTGATAAACAGAATGCCTTTATTTTATTTACTTTTATGAGATATTGAGGATTGAACCCAGAGTCTCACKCATGCTAAGCAAGCACTCTGCCACTGAGCTACAATCCCAGCCCTACTGATAGCTTTTGACTGGGGGGAGATGAGCAGGTAACAGGATGAAAAGAACACAGTTAATGGTAGACTACAAAATGGTCTGCAGGGCAGGAGCATGTGCAAAGATTGGGGCACAGGTAATAATATAATTACCGGAGAACAAGAAGCAATAATAATAACAACAGTTAAACCTTACTGAGAGCTTCTCATGTGTCAGGCCTTGAGCTAGTGTTTTACATACATATATCTCATTTAATCTTCACCACAATCCTATGAGGTTGTTATTCTTATCCACATTTTTCTAAGAAGATGGGAAGAAGTTCAGAGTCCAGGGTGCTCTGTGGAGTCCAGAGCTGAGGAAGACACCAAAGATGAGGTGAGAATACTGAAAACAAGATTTGTAGGCTTTATATACTTTTGTAGAGTTCATAATTTCAACAGAGGAATTTGCTTAGCTGCATCCTAGTTGCTGGAAAGTGGGGAATGAGTCTAACTTAGAGACAGAGGCCACAGCTGTGTGAAGATTTTGTAGTCCTGAAACTAGGGATGGGGAAGTTAGTGGTCAAGAAATGCTGAGACGGGGCTGGGGATGTGGCTCAAGCGGTAGCGCGCTCGCCTGGCATGCGTGCGGCCCGGGTTCGATCCTCAGCACCACATACAAGCGAAGATGTTGTGTCTGCCGAGAACTACGAAAAAATAAATAAATGTTAATATTCTCTCTCTCTCTCTCTCTGTCCCCCTCTCACTCTCTTTTTAAAAAAAAAAAAAATGCTGAGACCATTCCAATCATAGAATCATCTAATTCTATACCAGAAAGTGGATTAGATGATAAATTTATTACCTCTGCTTTACAATCCTGAAAACCTGGTCTCTAAAAGCTTAAGTGATTTGTCCACATTAATTCCAATAGCAAGAGAGAATATAAAAGAAATCCRTTTTCCTAAAATTCAGTTTCCAAGACACTCTAGTATTCAAACCCAGATTCTGGACAGAAATCATAAACAATTGGTACCAATTACCTTGGGAATGAAACTCAAATTTGAGAGGTGTTTGGCAAACATAGGGGAGACTCTACTATGGAGGCTATATTTCAAAGGCAGCGTGATCTAGTGGAAAAACTTTCCTAAGGAAATGCAGAGTCCTTTTCTATCTCAGGTTTCTTTTTTATTTGAAGCTGGAAGCTCAAAGTTCATGGTTTCATTAAAAGAAACCTCAAATCCYGAAGGTGAGATAGCTGTCACCTGGAGCCCTGTATGTTATTCTACTCTTGGCTGGGAACAGTCACCTGGGAATCATTCCAGCAGGTGACTTCCAAAGTCCAACCTGCTAGGTTGAAATCTGACACTGACAGAGACTCCCTAGGAGCTGCCACGGAAAGCTAAACCAGGAACCAGGAAATGCACAAGCCTCTTTATGTTGGAAAACAGCTGTGCTCCCCRGGAGACCATACGCCATGGGAAACCAGCTCTGCTGCAGGGAAAGCTGGTGAGTAGGGTGGAAGGGCAGAGGGTATCTATCATCTCTGTTGGTATATGTGGGGAAACAGAGAGCCTGGAGATAGTGCCTCCCACTGCCACCTTCCTCAGCCTGGTACCTCCTGGTCCCCACACGAGAGCAGCATCTCCTTCCCACTTACTCCTTTCAGGAGACCTTAGAAAAGACAGCAATACCCCACTCCAGTGTCCTTAGCAGGGCTGGACATGGTGAATTGGCATTATTTTTCTTTGTTCTCTTTCTTCCTTTCCCCTTCTCTCCTATCCCTCCTTCCCCAGGTAATAACAATAGTTGTAGCATTTGAGAGCTTTCTATGCCAGGCACTCTACAGTTTCATCTAATTTTCCCAACACTTCTATGAGTAAGTGGTCTTACCCCTCCTCCCACTTTATAGCCAGCCAAAAGCTGAGGCTCAGAGAGGTGAGAAGTTAACTTTCTGGCCCTGTGACATGGCCAGAAGCAGGTAAAGCAAGGTTCCAACCCAAGCCTGCCTGACTTCACAACCCATTCTTCCACCACTAGTAATCACAGATCAAGCAGATCAACTTTAGAAAAATGTCTGTTTAAAAGGGTGAAAGTGGAAGGAGAATATCCATGGAATATAAGAATATAACTTTCATACTTATTTGCTATGTGATCTTAGGCAAATCCTTTAATTTCTCTGTGCAAAATATAGATTAACATAACTCTTATTATTTAGATCACTGTTTTGTTTTGAAGAGCAAAGGATATAGTATATGTAAAAACCTCATACTAAGTTATTTGTGGTATTGTAGCTGTTCTTTTGCAGAATTTTCACCATAAACTCCAAGACGTAATACTGACCACTGTCATTCTGTAGTCAGCACTAATATTAAGGATGTCTTGTTGATTTAAAAAAAAAAAAATCCCTATATTTAAAGAGACAAGCAAGGTACATTGGAAAGCAAATAGGACTTAGGGTCAGTACATTGGATTCAAGTCCTATCSCTACTAATTATTTATTTTCCTTTATTAAACAAATATTTATTGAACATTCTATGTATACTGGGCACAGTGATAGATGCAGAAGACACTAAAAAAAAAAAAAARGAAAAGAAATTTGATCCTTGCCTTCTTGAATAAGTTACCAAAGTAAAAGGTCTTAGTTGACCCATCTATAAAATGGGAACACAAGTATGTGTCTTCCAGAATGTTGTTATCACTGAAAACAAACAAACAAACAAACAAAACACTCTTTAACATATATAGCAAATTAGAATAAATTTTTAAAATAAATTAATTAATTTAATAAAAAACACTATTTTTTTTAATATTTATTTTTTAGGTGTAGATGGACACAACACAATGCCTTTATTTTCATGTGGTGCTGAGGATCGAACCTGGGTCCTGCCCATGCTAGACAAGCTCTACTGCTGAGCCACAATCCCAGCCCCCAAAAAACACTCTTTAAAATAGTGAGAYGTCTATAAAACAGGGCATCTGGTAGACAGAACAGCTTCTAGAGAAGGGGATATAACATCTCATTCACTGCCCATCTTCCCAAGTGTTTATGTTCTTTATTACTGGTTTGTTCATTTCTGATGGTGGTAATTATTGATAGTCATCTTAGCTTCGTTATTGATGCTCATTATAGATAGAAATGTGAGTAGTATCTTACATTCACTATTTTATTTAATCCTTACAGTAGTCCCATGTTTAGATTCTTTCTTTCCTCCCCCTGCCCTCTGCTTTCTCCTCCCTCTCTTCTTCTCCATATTCTTTTTTTTAATATTTATTTTTTTTTTTAGTTTTCGGATACAACATCTTTATTTTATTTTTATGTGGTGCTGAGGATCTCCGCACATACCAGGCTACCGCCCGACCCATCGCTTGAGCCACATCCCAGCCCCTCCTCCATATTCTTTATTGAACTCAAGGGGGGTCTACTACTGAGTTACAACCCCAGCCCTTTTTATTTTTTATTTTGAGATAGGGTCTCACAAAATTGCTCATGCTGGCCTTTAACTTGGGATCTTCTCTTGCCTAGGCCTCTTGAGTTACTGRGATTACAGATGTGCACCACTGTGCCCAGCCCCATTGATATTTAGATTYTAATATCATCCTCATTAATGCTCAAATAGAAGACTAGAGAAGTTCAAAACCTTCTGAAGTCTTACAGCTAACCTGACCAGTCAGTCTGACTCTAAAACTCATTCTAGAGACACTTTGACAGACTTTCTAACCAGATCTATTTTTGTTCCTATTAAAATATTAATAGGATCAGATAAAAATGGTTCTGTTTCTAGTTATCTCAATAAACCTTCAAAGACTTAATGATACTATGACAAGTGAAGATTTTTATTTTACTTATTTATTTACTTACTTACTGTGGTGCTGG